ATTATATATATGAGAAGGAGAGTGAAGAAACATATATCTATATACATATATATATCTATAGATATATATCTAGCCTCAATGTGAGAGATTGAGAGAAAATCCCCTACCTTAAATCAAGATTCCAAGCTAAGACCCAAGTTTCAAGACCTTCTTGCTCTCCTTTCTTTTCCTCTTAATCTTCTCCTCCTAGGGTTTCATAAGATTTGGGTGAGAGGGTAGCAAGAATGGAAAAAAATGGGAGGAGAATGTATTCTTGAAGAATTTGAAGTTTTGATTTCTACAAGGTATAAATCCCTCTTGATTGGTATTTCTATCTTCCTCTCTTCCTCTAAAATGGTTCCTAGGGTTTGGAGGGGTGAAATAAATGCTAAAGGGATGACATTAGGTTTTTATAAGGCAAGAAAATCGAGCAAAACCCGATATTTTCTGTTCAGAAAAAATCGGGTTTCTTTCGTACTGTTCACAGATTTTTGGTGCGACTTCCAGGTCAGTTTTGTCCCATTTAGAGGTCGAATTGGAAATTTTTCATGAAATACACTTTTGTAGCCCTAGATGTCTACTATTTTCTACCAAAAGTTCAGATCAATTGGACATCAAAATATAAAGTTATGATCAAAATACTAAGAAGTGTCCATCACCCCTTTTTACCCAATTTCACTGCAATTTGGTTTTACTTCTAAAATACTTCCTAACTTCTAATACATCCCATATTACCTCTCCCAATGTTTTCCGACCTCCCGAATTCAATGGTAATGTTATTTTGATAAAAAAAAAAGTTAATATATTTATTTAGTTACCCTTATCAATCTTAAACACATCCAAAAAAAAATTAAGTTTGACCCAAAAGTCAATCCTTTCAAAACTCAAACTTCATGATTAATATTTCAACAATGATTCTAAGTTTTTATCCTCATTTTATTCATATTTGGAAAACTCTTAAGATATTAGTATTTTTATTTAATTTTTAGTACAGGGTCTTATAATCCTGGGGGTAGAATTTTCAAGAGTCTATCTGTATTATAAGTGGAGAAATTACTATCTCGAAAATAGCCTGTCGCGCCTTGCTTAGCGATCTATCTTCTTCGTTTTCATTATTATTTTTCTATTTCTTGAAATTTTTTGCCACACATTATTCTACAACACATCCATAATATTTTTTTTCCCTTCAATTAGTTAGAAACACCAGCATTAGAAACCTAGATTTTAAAATCCAAACACAATATTTGATGAGTCAACTTAAAAATGCAGTTATGAAGGCCCTCAAGATAAAATGTAGTAGGATCAAAGATAAAACAATTCCCCAAGCTATGCAAACTAATCCTCAAAAAAGAAAAAAAATCCACATAAAGCACATGTTCACAATCATTCCAATAGAGGGCCAACTGAACAGAGGAAACAAGAGGTGTTTTCATGAATCAACATCACAATCATCAATATTTCATTCCAAAATTTCTCCATTCATCCACTTCCACAAACATGCATTACTCTTATAAACACACATTCTCTAAGAATCAAGATAACAATTAAACCAGTTAGGCTAGATGTATATGATTTTTGATCTTTCTTACCTTGTATCAGAAAAAATTAGAGTAAAAAATGATAATTTGGCAAAAAAAAAGAAAAAAGAAGAAAAAAACTAGGTGTTTAACCCAATTGACTGCCCTATGAATCTTAACCAAAAAAAAACCCATTCCCTTTGGATCTTAACCCATCAAATCTTACAAAAATTCAATCTCTCAATCGTTCTCCATCTTTCCAATAAAACCCAATTACAACCTTATTCTGACCGCAGGGTAGGGGAGTTGAAAAATTATTCAGTGCTCATCAAGCACCACATGGGAATGTCATATGATAACATCATCACCTATAAAATATTATAAATTCCTAATCAATTGTTGCCACTTGTAAAGTTGTCAAAATATTTTTTGAAAAATACAATATTTGTCCCACTAGTTAGCCTTGTGACAATTTCTCATTCAATGTGAGCATCAATGACCCATAAGCACCGTATATTTTCTCAAAAGAATCAGATATTCTATAGTTGAAGGTACAAATGAGGACAAGTCTGAGGCATTGATATAGATTAGCCTTGAATGTGAGTGGTCCTTCAATACTGTTGGTTTTGCACAGCAAATAATGAACATTAATAGCGTAAGTTAGGTGATAAGAATTTAAGATAAGAAAAACAATAAAAACATGATACAAATATATAACGTGGTTCGATATAATATATCCAACTTGATACACATAACTACTTTCACGGACCAAAAACCTATATTGATACATTATTCACTAAAAAAATTAGTCATCTAGTAACTGATTGCATAATACTTAACTTTATTTATAGAGATAAAATAGTGTAACCAATACAATTTGGATACTGTCAAATCTCTATGTTTCCTATAGGTCATTAATAAGCCTATCCATGGTTTATTATGACTCTTCCAATACGTTTTATATTCCATTTAAGATTCTCACATTGTTTACCAAACAAACTCTTTTCATGATAATTAGAGAGCTTGAGTCAAATTTCAACAGCCTCCCTTGAACCAAACTCTTCAAATTTGGTCATGCCCAAGATCGGGCTTAGCAACCTTGATTCTAATCCACCAGTTTTTTCAACCACCACATACAAACCTAATCTTCTAAGTCGTCTCAATCCTTTCTGTCTTTCAAGAAGCTGAGCTTTGACTAAATCTTCTATGTGCCTTTACTAGTGTCTTACCAACCCTTGAGAGGTCTCAATGGTCAATGTTTTACCATTCAAAGGTAAAGCCTAGTGCTCATAAACCACGAGACACCATATCATCACGATGGGGTTTATATCAGCTCAATAGCTTCCAAACTATTGTAATACTGGGACTTCAACTCTAAGAGCTCAAAAATCTTAAAAACCATCTTCAACACAATATATGTGGTAATTCTTAAAATCCAAATAATCTGGAAGTAACTTTATCTCCCGTTTGATTTCATATCAACTTTAAATTTTTCCTTGTGTATCCAAACAAAAATATGCATCAACTAATTTTTCAAGATTTCGTCCTTAATGTATGTAGGACCAAATCAATCTTCACACCATGTCATACACACATGGCAATGAAATCTTCTTCAACATGAACACCAACTTGATCATTAAATCGCTAACAACTTGCTTTGATTGTTGCATCTGAATTGTCAATCTAATTATGATTGTTCTACTAATGGGTCTTTGGTTCAATAGTACTTTTTTTCTTGTAAAGACTTTGTTTTCTTGAGATCAAAAGTTCAAGCCCCCCTCCCAAAATAAAATAAAATAAAAACTCTAATTATTCTACTAGGATCATCAATTTAGCTCTGATACCATTTTTTGATGTTGCACAACTGATCATTAACATTAATAGCATAAGTTGGCAGATAAGAATTGAAGATAGGAGAAACAATGAAAACATGACACAAAAATATAATAACATGGTTCGATACAACATACTCACATTGGTACACCATATTTAAATCCACAAACCAAAAACTTACATCGACATATTATCACTGGAAAAATTGGTTATCTGGTAACTAATTATATCAACCCTATTTATAGAGATAAAATATTGTAACTCAATACAATTTGAATATTGTCAAATCTCTATTTTTCCTATCAAGTCATTAATAAACCTATCTATGGTTTATTATGACTCTTCTAATACATTTTCTATTCCATTCAGGATTCTCACATTATTTACCAAACAAACTCTTTTCAAGATAATTAGAAAGTTTGAGCCAAATTCCAACAAACACAAAGTTTTGTGCTCACAGAGAACAAACATGACCGAAAAAGGGGAAAAATTGGTTAGAGATCAAGTGGCTCATGACTCCGCCAAAGTTCACCCAATGCGGTGGAAGTAAGCTTGTAATCGGACAACTATCGACCGTAGTGGGCATTAAGGCAATGGTGGTCGGCAATGATGACGCATGGTAGGATGATAGTGGGGGACAATAATTTTGGCAGTGGAGAAAGATTGGTTGGTCATGCCTGAGGTAGAGAGAAGAAAAGATAAGATAAGGATGGTTCTTGCAGGAGACAGAAAGAAACAAGGGAATGGTGGTTAGCTGAGGGGGAAAAAGGGTTAGTATTGTTGGGTCATGAGAGAGGGAGGGGGAGAGAGAGAGAGAAGGGGGTAATGAAGGGGTTTTTTAATGATTCAAGGAGTTTGGGTGGAATGAGGAATCCAAATCACTTTACCTTCCTTAATTTTTCCATATGTGATAGATTATACAATGCTCGTTTGGTTGCTGTATTAAAAATGAATGAATTGGATAAATGAATTTAGTCTAATACAATACAAATGAACAAAAGACAAGATTAAATAAAGTATTAGAATAATACGTAAATTTTTTTAGTCTTTGACGTACACAACATTAGCGTTGAATAATAGTTATTTAGTCCAATCCGTTATTTGGTTAAAAATTTATTTCATCGTATTAATATTAAATTAACAAAAATTTCCTCAATCAATTCTAGCATGCGTCAAAGTGTTTGTTATATTGATTACAGTTTGGTCTTATCAGTTGTGAGATTATAATAGTAAATATATACAATAATACATTTAAATTAGATTATAATATCACCTCTTTTGGTGGTATTAAAATATTTTCATAATACAAATTTATCCTATAAAAAACATACAATAAGTATACACCTAATATACATTTTTAAAATTTATACAAAATCAAATTTATCTACCAAACAATGTATTATACCTGATTAAATTAATAATAATACAACACAATATTTAATCAACTCATAATACGTCTATAAAACGAATCCACGGTGTCTTAGAAGAGAACCACCTATAGTAAGTTCCACTTGGTTCGTGGCAATTGATTTATCATAGACTAAAAGGACATCGGAGTAGATCCAGATTCAAAAATCAGGGCTCGTCCTCTGAGGAGCTTGAAACAAAGAAAGGTTGCATACTTAGATGTTAGGCACGGTGAACGATGTAGGACGCAAAATTGAAAAATAACCTGTTTCTACATCTCTGCGGACCTCTATTAAAACTCTTAAATGTAATACTATCTTACTATAATTCACCATTTCTTTATTTTGTTTTGAATTGAATCACATATACAAAGATTAATAACTTATGTACTCAAGAAAATAAGTATCATCTAGGTAAGTAGAAGGCGAGAAACACGCAACAAATAACTCCTTTCGTTGCTCCATTAACCTGTGTTTGTCAAGCCTTACACCACTCTAACTCGATGCTGTACAAGAAAGTTCAATGCTGCATTTGTAAATCCCCAAACCTAAGCTGTGCCTTCAAATTTTGCGCAGTGACCTTGAAGCCATGAAGGTCTCACCTTGAAACTATAACAAATAACTGTCTGCAGCACCGCCTTGGAAAAATCAATTTTAGGTTTTCTGTGTACAATTGTTTTACACCAATGATGAAACAATATATATATCACATGCAGGATAGTAAGACCAGTACAATTTTCCCCAAAGGATATTATTATTGGAGTAAGGTCATCGATGCTTGAATTTCTTCTAGTGTTCGGCCCTTTGTCTCAGGCACCAACTTTGCAACAAATACAAGTAGTGAACAGCAAATGATAGCAAACATGAAGAATACCCCTGCAATAGTGTAGCTTTAGTACAAGAAAGGAAACAAAAACAATATGAAACGCGCAAACACGCACACACGGCAAGAGTGAGAGAAAGAGAGATCACCTGCTGAGCTCCATTCGAATGCGAAGTTAAAAGCATAGGTAACAATCCAAGAACTAAACCAGTTTGCCAAAGTCACAAGACTTCCACCTGGGCCCTTTATGTTTATAGGAAATATCTGTGATGGGAACAGATCTTTAGTTCAAGCTATTATCTTTCTTGCAATAATTTTAAGTTGAGATAAGTATCCCCATACAATAAAACAGAGCATGGGCCAAAGTTAACCTACCTCCGACATAATAACCCATGGTGTACCACCCATGCCCATTGAAAAAAATGCAGAATATATCTGGTTGCAGAACAAAAAATCGCAATATAAACATCACTCAATTCTTTCAATCAGCGTGTCAAATTATGTGAAAATGAACAGGTTAGTAATCGGTAGCTTTGGATCAATCTGATTAACATTTTGACAGTTTAAAAATTATAAATGTGAAATTCATGTTCATAGTAAATGCCACAAATTTAAAAACTACGAATATGCACAGAGGTCGCATAGACCTTTTAGACCAACACATGATGCGGAGGTAATAAGAAATCAAAGACAGTGAGTGAAAGCAAATATACAATTAAATTATACAGTTATGGCTATCATTCGATTAAATCACATCACCAGTATGCCAGCGAGCACAAATATGGCAGTGAGCTCCTCCCCTTGATAATGCGCCTGCTCAAGGTGAACCAGTATTTCAGGGAAAGGAATGGCTTTCTAACTTCCGAGGAAAGAAGTAAAAAACGACTTCAAAGTTACTCAGATTCAAAAATTACATGAACCTTCAAAAGGAACCCCAGTCCTGCAAGAAGGCATCCTGAGCATGCTCCAGCGGAAGTAACCTGCAAAGACTCCAAGGTCGGCTCATCTATCAACAACATCCAAAACTAAACGAGAAAAAGATTTTTTCACATTCTAACCATCAAAAGTGGACGCCGTCCACATTTATCCATTAGAAGCATACTAAGAGCGGCAAACGGAAGCTGCCAAGAATATCTACATTATTATCTGAAAAATGTCCTGAACAGTTTGGTTAATACAAATTTACTCAAAATAGTAAGGAACCTGAGTAATAGCCATCATTGTAGTTGCAAGACCACCAGAGTAACCTGTTATAATGTATAGATTCAGATATTTATCTACTCAAACTCTGGTTTGTCTAATCCCGATGATAACATAACGTACTACAAAAGGTCCTTACCTGCAGCTTTGAAAATTGAACTTGCATATGATGAAATTGCATCAGGCCCTCCAAATTGGACCAGAAGCATTAGACCAACTCCAACCTATTGCAAGGGGTGTACTCAGTAAAATGGCAGAAAACTTGTGAAAAGGTAACATGCCACATGTAGGATTTATGCAAGGCTTACAATAAGTGAATGGGCATACTTGCGATCGAACAAGTCAAGAAATCTGGATTTCGAAAGCTGTTGAAGGGTTTCAGTATAATCCTGTAAAACAACATCGGCCCATCTTATTTGCAGTTGCCATACACAGAAACACTCAAGACAAGCATAAGGAAAAAAAATCATCCTAAAGAGTGACTAGTTGAATTTACATATATGGACTAAAGGTGTTACTTTGATATCAGCTGCTTCCTGAGAAATATCAGCATTTTTACCCCTGAGAAGCTGTAGAGTTGCTTCTACCTCTTTTTCATGGCCTATCTTTGCCTGCAGACAATTGCAGTCATGAATTGAGCATCATTATAGATTCCATTCCTTCTCCCTTGACCCAAATTTTGCTACCTTTAATCAAACAAAAGTACACAGAAAAATAAAAGGATCTCCCCATGTTTTTCGCTACATTTGTTTTTAACAAAAAAGGCCTAACAAACCACTACAGAAAATTAAGTTGAACTTCACCCTATACTTTATATAGAGTGTTATATCCTGAACCAAAAAAAAATAGTACTAAATTTATAAACTATCTAAACATTAGTGTTCTATTTAGAGGTCAAAATAGAATTACAAGAAATGTTGCCTGATGTGTGTCCATGCATGCAAGGTTTCTACATGTGTCCTATTTATAACTTGTAATACGTGTCTTGTGAACTAGAATTTGACAAGTGTCCACATTTTGGTGTCAAGGCCATGAGAATGTGTGTATATGTGTGTTTTAAGTAAAAGAGAAAGAGGTGCATGTGTCTAAGGTGAGCAAAGAGGGGGAAATGGAAAAAAGAAAAAGGGAGTAAAATGGAGAGGAAGCATCCAAAAGTTTTAAGGTGAGAATGGAGTGATGTGTGATCCAAATTAGTTATATTGCTCCGAGTTGATTGGTCTTGATGTTTAAGTATTAATTGAATATTCAGTAAGGAAGATAATTTATCATATGCTTTCCTTTTAAATCTATTTGCACAAAAAAAAAGCATTTATACTGATTATTATGAATTTGTAATATTTTTTATTAGATAGTGATTATTCCAAATTTTCTGGAATTTCCAATTGCCATGTTGGATTGAGTGTGTGCTGAATAAAGTGCCATGAAACTGATTGCTACCTGCATTGAGTCAACCAGCAAACAGTCCAACAAGCGAAGACCCCGAGGCCGAGGGCCAAGACGGATAAGATGAAGTGAAACTGAGTGTTACTAGTCATGGTACTGATATGGTATGAGCCAGTATGTCACTAAATTTATTCTTGAAATATGAGTATCATTTATTTGGCTCTTTTGTGTTCTGCTACCATGTTCATAATTTGTACTCCTGTCACTACTAACTGAGCTACCCAACCCATCCCCATTTACCCAATCACAGGTCAATTTTTGAGAACTGGTTGGAATTATAATATTTGAGGAATCGGAGATTGGCAAATATTGATATAATTTTGTGATGTTTAACTGGGAGATTTATTGTATTGGAGATAAATTAAGAATCGTAAAGCTCTTGTAAATTATAGGGAATTTAGAGCTCTGAATTATATAAATGGATGTAAAACAGTAATAATTTCACCAAATAACATTCTGGGAAA